GGGGGGGGGCGGTAGGTGCGGCGGTTGGTGCAGCGCTTGGTGCAGCGCTGGACGTGGCGAGCCCCTGGGCTGGGGCCGGCGGCCCCTGGTTTTGCTGCTTCGAGGATCCAACTTCGTGCATGTCCATGTACACACGCATCAGTGTGTACGCACACACATCTGTTGTGTAGGGTGGTATCTTGCGCGCACATGCACTGATATGCGCCACAACTCGTGCACGCACACGGCCAACGCACCCACAACACATACACCGACATCCCCCCGTCAAACAAACAGGGGCGTGGTGTGCCAGTTCCGCGTGATGGACGGCAGCGTGTCGCGCGGCGACACCGTGGTGATGATGAACACCGGCAAGGAGTACACCCTGGACGAGATCGGGGTGCTCGCGCCCTCCAAGGTCCCGGTGAGAGCCCCTGGGCTGGCTCAACTCCCCGCTGCCCCCTCCCCTTCCCCCCTCCCTGTGGCGCCGAGGGGCACTACGGCTAGTCAGTCTCAGTGCGATAGCGGGACCCGGACCCTCCAGCGCCCTGGGTTTCACGTGTCTGGTGGAACGCGCTGGATTCGGCGCAGCGGGGTGGGAGTCAGGCGGCTTTGGTTCGCAGCCCGAGAGACGCTGGGGCGTCTGCTGTGAAGGGAGGCGTGACAGGGTGGCTGAACTAGGTGTTGGGTTTGGGGAGAGGACGTTGTCGGCCTCGCGAGCCGCCGCATCCACGTGGCCCGCCGTGTCGCCTCACGGCGGACGGTTCCTTACCGCCGGACCCGCCCGGCCCCCTGTGACGCCCTGACCAGCCCCAGCAAGCCAACCGACCCGAACCAACAAAACACCCAGCCTCGGCCGGCCGACTTAAACCGACCCATAAAACCGACCCACCCGCCGGCCGGGCAAACCAGGTGGACACCCTATATGCGGGTGAGGTGGGCTACCTCGCTGCCCAGATCAAGTCGGTGCAGGACGCGCGCGTCGGTGACACGGTGACACTCAAGAAGGTGCCGGCGGTTGAGGCGCTGGACGGCTATCAGGATGTGCAGCCGATGGTGTACTGCGGGCTGTTCCCGACGGACGCGGATGACTACCAGGT